CTTTTTCTGACAATGATGCACAGCATGTCAACCTTTGCCAAGACGCTCTGCCAGGAGCTGTCACCTTCTTATTTATTTATTTTATTTATTTACTCCATTTGTATACCGCATTTATCAGCCTAAGACGGCGACTCAATGCGGTTTACAGTAAAATGTGCAACACTGACAATATTTATTTATTTATTATTTATTTACTCCTTTTGTATACCGCATTTATCAGCCTTACGGCGACTCAATGCGGTTTACAGTAAAAATATACAACACTGACAATATATAAACAGACATACACAGACGACACACATATAGTCATCAACGCCTCAAATAGAATCAGATCCCGTTCTCACAGTCGTTTTTCCATTCCTTGTTCAGTACACCGTCTTCCTGAGTTAGTTGTAGTTGCATGATTAACTGAACGCCTGTTCAAAGAGCCATGTCTTCACCCTCCTCCGAAACACCAGTAACGAAGGGGCCTGCCTGATGTCCGCTGGTAGGGCATTCCATAGCCGAGGGTCCACAGTTGAGGGGCCACCAGTGAGAAGGCCCTGTCTCTCATCCCCGCCAGACGCATCTGTGAGGAAGGCGGGAACGAGAGCAGGGCCTCTCCAGAAGATCTTAGCATCCTAGAAGGTTCATAGGGAGAGATACGTTCGGATAGGTAAATTGGACCGAAACCGTTTAGGGCTTTATAGGCTAAAGCCAGCACTTTGAATTGTGCCCGGTAGCAAATTGGCAGCCAGTGGAGCTGGCGCAACAGAGGAGTGGTATGCTCCCTGAGTGCCGCTCCTGTTAGCAACCTGGCTGCCGAACGCTGGACCATCTGAAGCTTCCGGGCAGTCTTCAAGGGCAACCCCACGTAGAGCGCGTTGCAGTAATCTATGCGGGATGTGACAAGAGCGTGGACTACCGTGGCCAAGTCCGACTTCCCAAGATACGGGCGCAGCTGGCGCACGAGCCGAAGCTGTGCAAATGCTCCTCTGGAAACCGCTGAAACTTGGGGTTCCAAGCTTAGCGAAGAATCCAGAGTCACACCCAAGCTGCGAATCTGCGTCTTCAGGGGGAGTGGGACCCCGTCCAGCACAGGCTGTAACCCTATACCCTGTTCGGCCTTCCGACTGACCAGGAGTACCTCTGTCTTGTCTGGATTGAGTTTCAATTTGTTCACCCTCATCCAGTCCGACACAGCGGCCAAGCACCGATTCAGGACCTGGACAGCCTCCTTAGTAGTAGGTGGAAAGGAGTGACAGAGTTGGACGTCATCTGCGTACAGATAACACCGCACCCCGAAACTCCGGATGATCTCTCCCAACGGCTTCATGTAGATGTTAAATAACATGCTATCATTCTAAAAAGGAAGCAACATAATGTAACTTCTGATTCCATTTTAACCATTTATCATTGGCAGTGCTTCCCAAAATTTGATCTTCCAGGTGTTTTGGACTTCAGCTCCCAAAATCCCTGATCATTGGCCAAGGCAGCTGAGGCTTCTGGAGGTTGAAGTCTCAAAGATCTGGAGGACTAAATTTGAGATTCATATAGAAAGGTTGGGAGAGCAAAACCACTATTCTTTCCTGTGATTCTGACAGCTTTGCGTGATGAGTGGATGCAGAACAGCCTGGAAAAATATTTTTATGTCTCCTGGAACCATAAAAAAGGAGAGTGAAGATGTTGGGCTGTGGACCAAACCTTTCTCATTTTTGCCATTAGCACAGCAGTTCAGGTCTTTCTTGAACCTCTAATCCAGGCCAAGGTTCGGTGTTTTGTTTTATGATGCATTAACTGGAAGATCTGTTTACCTTCAGGCTGTACCCACAGCAAAGGAGTGTGCTTGTAGGCATTGCAAAATTGACTTTTCCCCTCTTTACATGTACCCACAGTGGGTTCCAGTATACTTCCGTATACATCCGTGTGGATGTTACGGATGGAAGTTCTTGATGGGTGCCTTTCTAATATCCTTGGAAAAAAATACTATTTTGGACAGTGTTATATAATAGAAAGAAATGTCTGTCTTCAAATGATACATTATTGAGTTTCTAGTTGGTTGCCTAATTACAGTACTTTCATAGGAATTAGTTGTGACTAACGAACAGTATTGCTGACACCGATTTTTGTGCTGGAGATGGGGCTAAGGGACATCCAAAGATGGTGGGAATACCTTCACCGACCTGTAGAGTGATTTGAAGGTATTATAGAGCTATACCTCAGCTGCTGAACTTACTGACTGAAAGGTTGCCAGTTCGAATCTAGGGAGTAGGATGAGCTCCTGCTGTTAGACCCAGCTTCTGCCAACCTAGTAGTTTGAAAACATGCAAATGTGAGTAGATCAGTAGTTACCACTTCTGTGGGGAAGGTAACTGCACTCCATGCAGTCATGCCAGCCACATGACCTTGGAGGTGTCTACGGACAACGCCAGCTCATCAGCTTAGAAATGGAGATGAGCAACCCCCCCCCCCCCGAGTTGGACATGACTAGACTTAATGTCAGGTGAAACCTTTACCTTGGTATGTACTCTCTGCATGCGCACACACACACACACATACACATACATATAGCTCCATAACATCTTCAAATCACTGTATATACATATGGGAAATATATTTCTGACATCTGAAGAGGTCACAAAATGACCTTGGGAGCTACATATATGTGTGTGCATGATATATTTAAAAAATACAGTGGACACTGCTAACCAGAACTCTCAAGCAACCTGTGAAAAACATTTGAAGAAATAATACTTTAAATTAAATTAAAATCAATTTTTAGAGGAAACGCAAGTTTAAATGAAGTTTGTCTTTATTTGTTAGACCCAGCTTCTGCCAACCTAGTAGTTTGAAAACATGCAAATGTGAGTAGATCAGTAGTTACCACTTCTGTGGGGAAGGTAATTTGATTATTGGACAACAAGTTAAACATGAGCCAACAATGTGATGTGGCGGCAAAAAAAGCCAATGGGATTTTGGCCTG